CATGTTCCCAGCTGAGGCTGCTGGAGGAACAGTATGTCCCATCTGGGACAGGCTTGGCGTGAGTGACAAGAAAAGTTTCCCGAGTAGCACAGTTCCCAAGCCTGGCAGAATGACTCGCCTGGTTGCACTCACAGCCAAGACCCACTCAGCCCCTGGATTGATCTAGGGCAGGGCATGGTAAAGTCAGGAGTGTGAATACTACTGAGGCTTCTGCCAGAGCACAGGAAACAGCAACCAGAGGAAGGCTCAGCAGAAGGCTCAGACTACCAAGCCCTCTACTCTCCCACATTGAGGGGGAGAAAGCCTTGAGCCCAGGAGGGTGAGGTTTCAGTGACCCATGATCCTGCCACTGCACTCCAGACTGGTGACAGAGCAAGACTTTGTCACACACAGGCTCACACACACAAATTAAATTGTGTGAGCAGTTGTCACACAGGGAGATCCGGATGTCGTCCCTGTGGATTCAGGTCTCAGGGAGCAGGAGGGTGTGCTGTATTGTGGGAAGATGAGGGACACACATGGGAGGGGGTATTTGTGCCTGGCTTTGATGGATGGCTGGCCCTTTGGCCAGGGGGAACAGGCCAGCATAATGCAGTAGCAGTTGGGAACCACCGCGAACTTTCACTTGAACCTGCTCTGCTGAGCCCTCTGCGCCATCTGTGGACCTGGGCGAGGGCGGCTGCTGAACTGGGCACTCAGGGCCGATCTCTCTGAGGAGCTTTCTAAACCAGCAAGTGTCTTCCAGGTTGAGATTTTAGGGTCAAGGTCCTTAATGCTGGCCTCGATTTTAATGAGCAAAGTCTTTTGGCCAATCTGCATTGGGCGGAGCAGGAGTAAGACATAAATTTTTAAGATAATTTTCAAAGCTGTTTAATTTTGGTAAACACATAGAACATAAAATTACCATCTTGATTAATTGCTTAGTGTACAATATGTTGATTTAAACCTCTGAAACCCTGCCTGCTGTTTCTGTAATAAAACCTAGCCCAGACCTGGTATGGTGGATCATGCCTGTAATCCCAGCACTTTGGGAGGCCCAGGCAGGTGGATCACCTGAGGTCAGGAGTTTGAGACTAGGACATTCTCAAAGATGTCACACTTCTAGTAGACAGGCAAAGGAATGTCTGAGCAATTATCACACAGGCAGATCCAGATGCGCTCTCTGTGGATCCTGGTCTGATGGAGCAGGATGGTGCTCTTTCTTGTGGGAAAATGAGAGATACACATGGGAGGGGTATTTGTGCCCAGTTTTGAAGGATGGCTGGCCCTTGCCCAGGGGGAACAGGCCAAAAGCAAGCCCTGGCAATTGGGAAGCATGGGGAACCATGGGGGCAGTTGAACCTGCTCTGCTGAGCCCCCTGGGCCTTCCCCACACCTGGTGGGGGCGATGGTGGGGGCGCTATTCTAAGGGGAGCTTAGGGCCAATCTCTCTGATGTGCTTTCTAAATCAGCAAGGTGTCCCACAGGTTGTGATTTTAGAGACAAGGACCTCAATGCTGTCCTCGATTTTAATAAGCAGAGTCTTTGTCAATCGAATTGCGCAGATCTGAGCAAGACACACATTCTGAAGATAATTTTTAAAGCTGTTTAATTTTGGTAAAAATGTACAACATAAAATTTACCATCTTAACTAATGTTTAGTTTACAATACATTGTTTGAAGCCTCTGAAATCCTGGTGCTTCGTTAATAAAATCAGCAGTTTGTTACTCCTGCAGATGTGGTTTCAGGCAATCCTAAACTTAATTAACTTTTGTGGTCAATCTGTTTTACACACACCCATGCCTGCACAAGCCGAATAATAATGACATCGATATGAATTTACTGGAAGGAGAGAGCAAGGAAGAGAGGACATTTCGGAACTGGATGAATTCCTTGGGAGTCAACCCATACATTAATCATTTGTACAGTGACCTTGCAGACGCTTTAGTGATCTTTCAGCTCTATGAGATTATACAAGTGCCAGTCAACTGGAGCCATGTCAATAAACCTCCTTATCCTGCCCTTGGAGGGAACATGAAGAAGATTGAAAACTGAAACTATGCAGTGGAACTTGGGAAGAACAAGGCCAAATTCTCCTTGGCTGGCATTGCTGGGCAGGACCTAAATGAAGGGAATTCAACGCTTACGCTGGCATTGGTATGGCAGCTGATGAGAAGGTACACATTGAATGTGTTATCGGATCTTGGAGAGGGTGAAAAAGTAAATGATGAAATTATTATTAAATGGGTCAATCAGACTCTTAAAAGTGCAAACAAAAATACTTCTATTTCCAGATTCAAGGATAAATCTATAAGCACAAGTTTACCTGTCCTAGATTTAATAGACGCCATTGCACCAAATGCAATTCGTCAAGAAATGATCAAGAGAGAAAGCTTATCTGATGAGGACAAGCTGAACAATGCTAAATATGCCATTTCAGTTGCTCAAAAGATCGGTGCCCAGATATATGCATTACCTGATGACCTCGTAGAAGTGAAACCAAAGATGATCATGACGGTGTTTGCATGCTTAATTGGAAAAGGACTGAACAGAATAAAATAATCATTTCATATGATTTTCTGCCACATTAAACATATTCTACGCCTGACAGTTTACAGAATTCTAAAATGTAGTGGGTATAAAACCAGAGATTATTTGTATGCTCAAAATAGTTATATATTCATTAATGAATTCAATATCCTGTTCATACTAGTTAGAGCTGGTCAGCCGTGTTGGATAACACAGTTAATTAACCAGCTGATACAGATAATAGAATATATTCATAATCAAGCTGATACTTCGTGATTAAATTATTGTTGCTTAAAAGTCTTATTAAGACAAGTCTAATTCATTCTTTATTATAGTTCAAAAAAGATGAATAGAAAAGTTTTTGCAGGTTCTGCTGTGAAATGTGTTTTGATTTTTGTGTGTATTAATTTTGATCATAAATGCATTCATACTCATAACCCAGTTTTATTTGCTTCCTCCAACTAAAGTGGTCCAAAATCACTTTTCTGTAAGTTTCTATACTGTCTAAAACCTTATGGTGACAAGTATTTTTTATTAATATCAAACGTTTTTATATATGAGAACTAATTCTTCAATAAATCCCAAAGTTCACTCTCTTGTTAAGTAGCAGCAGCTTTTTACTTAAAACTTAATTTTAGCTGCATTGATATCTTACATATCCTAGTTTGGTAATACAGCTTTAACTGTGACATGTAACATATATATGTTGGTAGTATGTTACTAGAGATATACATGTGCATATATGTTCTTTTTTTGCACCTGAATCACCCAGCTTTTCATAAGTGGTATGTATAATTAATTGGTCATTCAGCCTACTATCAGTATCTTTCCCCCATAACATGTATAACACTTTTCAGTTTGTGGATATCTGATACATTAAGATTTCTTTTTATAAGTATTCATTTTGAATGTGCATATAGCTATTTGACTCCTTCCAAATAGTTGTAGACAAACATTGGCTAGAACATCCCAAGATATATTGACACTATCCTGTTAGCTTCCTATTATACTTGCTAATTTAGGTCTCTATAGATGCCCTATATAATTTACAATATGCCCACTGAATATCTTTGACAAAAAGTAACATAAAGCTAATATTCAATGTAGAGTATTTTCATGTTTTTTTATAGCCCATTACAAATTGGCAATGTTTGGTTAATGTTGTGTTACTTGGAAGTAGCTACGGCTTGGACCTATTTTTTTTTTTCTAAATTTTTAACATTAGTCCATGTCTGCTGCTAATAATGGAATCCAGAAATCTACTTCCTCCAGCTTCCACTGTTAGTGCCAGTGAGCAATACTGTTGTGCAACAAAAATGTCACTTTATGTCAGTGTGAATGAGTAGTCTAAATTCCCCTACTACCATTGATTTAAACACATATATTGGTAAGAGTGAGACTGCCCATGTGTTTAGAATTTTTTAAATGAAATGATCAACAGGTGTACTTTGAAATATATTCTTCTACAAAGAGATTTCTTTCCCTTCTATATTTTGATGATTGCGTTATTATATGAAGATTAAGATATGTTCTTGCTCTTTAATAAGATTATTTAAATTATGTTTCCTCTGATTTTTTTTTCACCATTGTATTTACTAAGTTATCAGATTTACAAGAAATCTGGCACTTTAGGGTGTTCTTTTTCTCACAGAGTATATTTAATAAAAATGCTGTGTATGTAAAAATAAATAAATAAATAAAATCTAGCCCCAGGCCAGGCAGGGTGGCTCTCCCCTGTCATCTCAGAACTTTGGGAGGCTGAGACGGGCTCATCACTTGAGCCCAGGAGTCCGAAATCAGCTTGGTGAACATCATGAAATTCGGTCTCCACTAAAATACACAAATCAGCCGGGCTTGGTGGCGCGCACTTTTGGTCCCAGCTACTCCAGAGGCTGAAGTAAGAGAATCCCTTGAATTAGAAGGCTGAGGTTGCAGTGAATGAAGATTGCGCCGCTGCACTCCAGCCTGGGCGGCAGAGCGAGACCGTCACGAAGAAACAAACAACCAACCTACCCCGGCTATAACCACGTCCACCGGGGATTTGGGGAGCCGCTGCGGGAATGGGACCCGGCATGGGGCTGCGCACCGGGCAGGGAGCGGGTCACTCCGCAGCGCAGGGAGAGGGAAGGCAGGGAGACCCCTTCGCCGCTGAACACTGCTGTGCATTTTCTTCACCTTTCTGTGCATCGGTGTCCACACTGGGTTAATAAAAAATAAAGAAAATACTGTTATTATTACATGAGGTGGTCATGGAAGGAAGCCCGTAATGGCAGGCTTGGGGCCTGGGCAGGCAGCCAGCCAGTGACTCGGGCAGGCAGCCAGCGACTCGGGCAGGCAGCCAGTGACTCGGGCAGGCAGCCAGAAGGGAAGTTGGCAGAGAAAGCAGCAACTCTCCGAAAGCCCTAAGCGGGGGAGAAAGGGGGGAGCAGGGTAAATGCATATGCAATGAATTAGAGTTGACTTGGCTGAGCTCTAGCGGGTAGACGCCTGAATGCGGAAAGTGTTTAAGGGAGTGTGTCTCTTCCGAGGGGAGAAGAACAGGTGCCAGACCTGCTTGTGTTTCACACTACATTCCCAGGCAATTCCTGTCAGCCAGCAAGCCCGGGGTAGTAGGTCCACTGGGTCCAGACTCTAGTTCCCTGCGCTTCCGGTCCAATGGGACAGCGGGTGTCGCAAGGCCTTTGGGAACGGCGATAGCAAGCCTTTATGAGCCGGCTTTCAGCCCCAAGGTGATTCATCTGCCAGGCTCCCCAACCAAGTCACTAGTCTTCAGCGCTCCGGGTCCCCAATGGCATCGGCCGCCAGCTCCGCGTTGCTCCAGTGCCTAATGCTTCTGCTCCAGTCGTCAGGATGGTCCCGGGCAGAGAGGGCTGGTGAGTTCTGGGATGGAGCCTAAGCAGGGCGGGGACCAAACCTGGGTGCCGTGGACTGCAGCGAGTTTCAAAGCAGGTGAGGCTTCTGGAAGGACCGGCGCGATCTCCCCGGACTGCGCCCCAGCTCAGTTCTGCTCCGCGGCTCCTTCTTGCCCGGTCCACTCCCCACTGTTGCTTTTTTCCCGGCCTCCAGCATGGCAGAGAGGAGGCTGGAAAGGAACCTCAGGAGGGTGGAGGGGCCAGAGAGCTGCCGAGGGCGAGGTGGGGCGGAAATCCCTTGTGCAGTCTGGCAGTCCCACCCGCCCTCAGGAAGCAGAAACCAGAGCCCCGGAACCCAAGCTGGGGTCAGGACAGGGATGAAGGGGGTTCCGCAGGTACAGGATCACAGACACCCCCACCAGACACAGACCTGCTCTGTTCACACCCGTTCTCCACCACACAAACCCTCCAGCACCCCCAGGGCTCCCTGTTCTTCAATTTTCCCCTGTGCTGTCCTGCAGACACTCACTTGCACCCAGAGACTCAGCAGACACTTCCCACCCCTCCCCTTGCCACCCACTGCCACCACCCAGGTCACATCCTTTCACTCCCCACCTCAGCCCAGTTGGTCACCCCAGAGGTCTCCCCATCCATGAAGGGGCCCTCACCACCTCCTACACCACGTGGCACCTTCTGCTGCTTGCCTGAGGTCATACATCAGCAAACACAGCCCAAGCTCCCCACAGAACCTGTGCAGGGGGGATGGGAAGCGCCGTTTCCTCCAGGATGACCCTGGGAACTCTGGTGAGTAGAGATGCCCACTTCTGCTCTTGGGGCCCAGACCCTCCTGTCCTTCCTACTGGGGAGCCAGCATCATAGAGATTAGTCACTGTGTAGACAGAGGTCAGGAAACTCTTTCTAGAAAGGGAGGAAGGATGCCCTGTGGTCTTTGCAGACTTTGGGTCCTCCGTTTCTGTATCTAGTCCTGTCCCTTTGTAGAACAGCAGCAGGCAATGGCAACCTGGAAATGAGGGGCGAATAGATTCGGACCATGTCCTAGGTTGCTGACCCCAGATGAGGAGATTACAGTGTCTCAGTGAAGAGTGCCCCATACCCTAGGGTGTCATCTGCAAGTGGTGTCTCAGGTGTTCTGGATTTTCATGCTGCAGTCAAGTCACTCTGGCATGGGCACTTCTCTCAGCCTTTTGTTCCATCTTCTACAACCTGTCACGTAAGAGCTGGGCTTTGGTTTCATTCGGTGTGAGTCATTCTTTTTGCAACCTCCCAAGGGCAACCTACTAGCAGATGAGAGGCACGTTCCAGGGAACCTACTGTTTCTCCAATGTTGACTACACCCTACCCACTGTGCCATGCTCCAGCATTCTCAGGGCACCCTCCCCCACTCTCCCACCTCCCACAGTCCACCTGGGTTGCTGCTGAAGATCCTGCCATCTAGGCCTTTCCTCCTGTAGCAGGCCTGGCACCTCCCTGGCAAGGTCCTGTGCTGACCCACGTATGTATAGGCCTGGGCAGAATGGGGAGATGGACACATTGGTGACCCATGGTTCCTCCACAGACAGAGACCACTGCCCAGGAAGAGAAGTCCATGCTCTGGCAGCCCAGCCCTGCAGGAAACCCTCTTGCTGTCACAGTGTTTGGGGTCTTTCCCCCACCCCAACACTCTCCCATGTTTTTTCTTTTTTCCCATAGACGCTCACTTTCTCTGCTACAACTTCACCATCATCCATCTGCTCAGACCTGGACAACAGTGGTGCGAGGTCCAAGGCCAGGTGGATCAGAAGAATTTCCTCTCCTATGACTGTGGCACTGACAAGGTCTTATCTGTGGGTCGCCTAGAAGAGCAGCTGAATGCCACAGATGGCTGGGGAAGACAACTGGAAATGTTGAGAGAGGTGGGGCAGAGGCTCAGACTGGAACTGCCTGGCATTGAGCTGGAGGATTTCACCCCCAGTGGTGAGTGGAGGAGACCGAGGACGGGACGGAAGGGAGCAGACTGTGGGCTCAGGGGCTGCACCGTGTGCGGGGAGAAGACATTAGACATGGGGCCTCCATGAAGCCCAGCAGCAAGGGCAGGACCTGGAGGAGACAACAGGGCCAGATGAGAAGGGGCTCAGAGGAGGAGGATGTGGGGCAGGGAAGGGAATTTGTAAAGACCAGAGCTGATCTCTTTCTGATTGGGGACAGGACCCATCAGGCTGCAGGCCAGGATGTCTTGTGAGTGTGAAGCCGATGGACACATCCATGGATCCTGGCAGTTCGGATTTCATGGACAGAGGTTCCTCCTCTTTGACTCAAACAACAGAAAGTGGACAGTGGTTCATGCTGGAGCCAGGCGGATGAAACAGAAGTGGGAGGAGGACAGGGAACTGACCGCGTTCTTCCGGAAGGTCTCCACAGGAGACTGCAGGAGCTGGCTTCGGGACTTCCTGATGTGCAGGGAGAAGAGGCTGGAGCCCACAGGTGACTACAGGGGAGCACTGGGAGCGCCTGGAGATGCCATCAAGTTACAGCCTTGTCTGTCAGTGTCTGTGGTGGGTGCGGGTGTATGGGCATGAGTGGGTATCAGTGTTTGTGGGTGTGTGAGTGTGTGAGTGTGAGCGTGTGAGTTTGAGTAAGAACATGACCCCTCATGGGGGACCCCTTTTGGGGGCGCCTGTGCTCTCCCATCCTCCTCTCCCTTCTCCCTCCTGACTCCTCTTCCTCACTGCACCTGCTTCTGCTCCCCTCACTGTGGATTTCTCGCCAGCCTCAAAACTATGCGCATTATTGTGTTTCTAGACCTTTCTCCTTAGATTTCCCTCCTCCTAGGATTACTTTTCCTTTCCTCTCCCCTTGGTCTGTTTCTGGAAATCCATCAAAACTACCTTCAATGCCTGCCTGGAGATCCTCCCTCCCCCACCCTGGGGCATCACCTCTTCTTCTGCCACAGCAGGAGGGTGAGCTGTGCTGTCACCTTGCTTCTCTTAGTGGCTGTGTGAGCTCACTGAGGACAGGGGACACCCCATCTCCCTTCCTACCCCAGCACCTGTCTCTGGGGCTGCCCCATAGCAGGGGGAACAAAACCTTTGCCTTGTAGGATGAGCTGGGGTGACAGGAGCAGAGGAGGTGTGTCTTCAAATGTGGGGCCTGGGCAAGGGTTGTGATGCTTGTGTTTCCATTTCAGCACCGCCCACCGTGTCCTCAGGCACAGACCAACTCAGGGCCCCGGCCACCACCCTCATGCTTTGCTGCCTCTGCCTCATCCTCCCCTGCTTCCTCCTACCTGGCATTTGAGGTGAGTCATTTAGAGTGACAGGTACTGTGGGCAGAACTGGGAGGGTATCAAGAAGAAGATGGATGAGGAGGGAGGATGGGAAAGGGGAATTCCCAGAGTCCCCCGCCTCCCCATGGCCGGGACCTTTCCATCCTGTAATGAGACAGGTGAATGAGACCTTGTGTCGCTTGTTGGCAATGACTTGGGCAGCTCAGTCCTGGACTTGGAGGCCAGCCTTAGGGAGGCCTTCTCAGCCCGTGTTCCACCAGGAGTGCAGAGCCAAGTGCTGAGAGGAGCAGAGACTGTAACAGCAGAAGGAGGCGACTGTAACAGCAGAAGGAGGCGACTGTGCCAGTGTGAGCCTCGTGGCCAGCAGGCCAGGCAGTGCCTGAGATTGGAGTCCGCCTGGGGTTTTGTGCGGTTCCAGCTCGACTGACCCTGTGCTCCCTCCCATCCCACAGCTGTGGAGCTGATATTTCCCCAGCAGCCTCTAGTGGGGAAGAGTGGCTGGAACAAGGTCATTCTGAGTCGAATTTGGGAAGACCAGGACTCATGTTCCTGGCAGGACCGTCATTCCTCATGGCATCCCTGACTCAGTTCTAATCCCTCCCCTCCTGTTCATTTTGGTTTGAACAACCTGTGCCTGCAGCTGTTTCTTCCACCTTTCTAGAGCTCAGAATTGGAGCTTCATTTTCAGTCTTGCATTCCTAACGTTTTCAAACAGGGCAGGGGATAGGAGAGCCATAATCTGTGAAAGCCGTGAACCGAACTCCTGCAGTCACTGGGGGCTCTTCCGTGGTGCACCATCCCATGAGGGTGGATCAGAGGGCGTGGTCAGGACTTCCTCCCTGGCTGCCCTCCCTCCCTGGGATGCCTTTCCTCACCACCTGCTCCAAAGTGCTTTAGGAAGTACAGCTCCTCACCTGGGGGTAACCCCCCATATAGGTACTGAGGAAGGAGAGCTAAGCAGAATCCTGGCACAATGAAGACCTGGAGAATATCTCAGTTTATAGTGTTACTACTCAGTTATTTTCCTTTATACAATCCTCTCTATATAATCATATATTAGTTCATAGAATGAGTGCCTAAAGAATATCTTACCACTCAGTTATTTCCATAATAACTATATCTTAGTTTATAATCAGAGGAATGCCTAGAGTAGATACAGTACAGAGCATGAATTAAGGAATAAGCAGCTTATAATCGGAAGAATGCCTAGAGCAAACACAGTGCAGAGCATAACTTAAGGGAAAACAGTTATACCAGGACAAGAATCCATGGCCCAGGCGGCAGCGTTCAGTATCATAAAGATACCCGCTGCATGGCACGCTTGGGGCAAGAGCCACTCCTCCTGATAAAGGAGTTGTAGGACCTTGCTCCAGTTCTTGTGGAAGGCTGCCCTCAGACCGGCAATCCACCTTGGTGACTGTGAACTTTATCAGCTCTCGTTACTGTGCTGCCCAAAAAGCATTCCCCTATAGAACTCACTGGAAGCTGCCAGCAGGTGGCATAGACCCTGACAGCTCTGTCACTGCTGTGTGACTTAAAGCATCCTCCTATAAATCTTCTTAGTAGCTTGCCCATAGACAGAGGTACTGCACACTGCACCCTCTTCACTGAGCATGGCCCACATCCATGCCTCGGTGACATAATGGAGGTGGACCCCTTACTGCACACGGCCCTTGCTTTGATGGGAATGAGCCCCTTGCTGTGCACTGTCCACCTCCCAGCCTACGTGACCTAATACAGGTGGACCCCTTGTTTTATTGTTCACGGCCCTGTCACTATCCTTAAAGATGACTTCACTCACTGCCCTGTCCCCTAACCTATACACAATAAATACTCACACTTCCGGACATTCAAGGCCTCACCTGACTCTACTCATAGGTGGTGCGGCCCCCCCCAAGCCCAGCAGCATTTTCCTTGTACTTCTGTGTCCTGTCTCTTTATTTCTCAGATCCTGCACCTCAGCACAGCATAAGGGACACCCCATGACCCTGTGGGGCCATCAGCCCTACACCTGGCCACATGGCATCCATCACGGTGCTTGAGAAATGATGGGACGTTGGTGGATATTGTGTGCTATGAATCCAATTTTTCCAAATCTGGACCTCAGCCCAGCCACCTATGATGGAACCTTGCAAGTCAAGGTCATGAACAAACTTTTAATAACTATTGGATATAAACTAATGAGGTAGAACTGTCATATCCGAATGAAAGAGGTGGATGGTACTGTTATTTCCTTTTGCTGTCAGAGGGATGTTGACAATGGCAAGGGGGGATGATGGTGAGATCCCAGGTGTGGTGGCTTCTTGGTCCACTTGGCTTGAACACATGCAGGAGGAGGGTCTGTGGCCCCTTGGCCATGTTGGTGGCCTCCTTTCTCAAGCTTTAACTTGTGCCCTCCCTAGCAACAGGGAGTCATGGATTAATGTCACCTGTCATGCCTCTCTCTTTGGGGAAAATATTAAAAGACTCAAATCCTAGCTGTGACTGCCCTTAGGCAGGGTGAGCCTGGAGGCTGTGGCCCCAAGGTGATGTCCAAAGGCTGCCTCGGAACCCTGGAGAGAGCAGGGCCCAGCCGGCAGCCCAATCTGCCCTCCAGACTGCAGTTCACTGGCCTTTTCGCAGCCAGGCTAAGATAGGCAGTGCTAGGAGCTTCCCACCGGCCACAGCAGCTGCCTGGTATCGTGTGGGGCTGGCTTTTGGAAGTTTAACATGCTTGCAGCTAAGAGTGTAGAGCTTTCTGTGAAACACTGGCAGCTCTGAGGGCTTGGGTTTTGGTAGGGGACTTATTGTCTGAATTGCCACAAGCACCTTCAGCTCCTGGGTGGGTGGTTGGGTTGGTTAGTTGGTTGGGTTGTTTTAAATTTAATTTTTCTTTTCCTGAAGTTTGTTAGAAACCAGACCTATGTCAGCAAAACCATGGCCCAGTTCAGCTGCCATCCGGTGGGGGTGCTTAATCAGTGGTGTTGGGATTCACGAAACATGTTTTGGAAATGAAAGGGAAGATGATGCACTTGCATTGTAAAATGGTTTACAATAAAGTTTGGCATCTTAAAAAAGGAAGGAAAGAAAATTCATATTCTTCCACCTAACATTCCTTTCTACTTCTTATCTTTGCCACATGTCCTGATTTATTGTGCCCAGAAAACACTGGTCCCACCATGTCCTAAGTTACCATCTAAAGTGTAGTGAACACGTGAACAAGAAAGAGGGCCCTGCCCCAGTCACTGCCTCTGATTTACTCACTTACAGAGTTCGTACAGCCTCAGCACCAAAAATGAGCTGTGCACGCTTCCCTCAGGAAATCAGACAAAATCCCTGCTCCAGTGGGGACAGCAGGTGAACATAATGAGCAGGTGCATTGCATCCGATGTAGGAAAGTGACAGGTGATTCACGGGGTAGGGAACAAAGTTGTGAAAAGGAAGAGTAGGAGGAGATCCCCCAGGTCCTCAGTAGCCTGAACTGAACAGGAAGGTTTCCAAAGAAGGTGATATGTGAGTCCCGGCTTCAAGGAGGTGAGCATTCTCGCAGGAGGCAGGAGGCAGGCCTGCGAATATGGCCCAGAGTGGTCCAGGATAATCCAGAAGTCACTTCCATAACATTTTCAAGACAACCCCAAAACAAAAGAAATACCCAAGAATGTATTAACTAATTAGGACCAAACAATAAATATTTGTGACCTAGTAATTTCATTGCTGTTTAAGAAAATACTTCACATAAATGGAAAAAGTAGTATGTTTATTTCTTTTTTTTTTTTCTTTCTTTTTTAGCTTAAAGGGCTGGGTGTCATTGATCGACAGCAGTTTTACACATTTGTTTCCTTCCCATGGTTGTTTCCTTCCCAGCGCAGGCACAGAGCTCTGGAGAAGGGCAGTCTCTGAACAGGGGAGCCAGGAACGCAGGTTGGACATGTCTCTGGACACATCTCTTCAGCAGCATCTGGGCAGGAACCTCTGGGAAGATGGAGGCCTGCCTTCTCAGTTCAGACACATGTGCCTCATCCAAAAATCTTCCAACAGCGACAGGATGGAGGCCACACGTGGACCCAGGCGGACACCTGTGCTCCCCAGTCCATCACACACTGCCCTGCCTGCGTGCTGCCAACTGCTGATGCCCAGGCCAGAGCTCCAGCAGGCCCCAAATTGGGACCTAAAGCCAGTTTGCATGGGCACTTGACAGTTTTTGGTAGGGAGATGGATAAAAAAGTAGATGGATGTGAGAAGAATGAAAGGGTTTCATGTGATGGACTAATTAGAGATATGAAGTGATTCTACCTTTATCTTCTTCACTTTAAGCCCATCATGAAATCTCCAGTGATTTCTGGGACGGGGGCAGAAGGAAGGCAGTGTTAAGACCCATCGGGTCTGTGGCCCAGTCGGCCCGTGGAGGAGCAGGCAGGGTGGCCCTCACTGGGCCTGTCTCTTGAGTTCCCCTGTACTCTTTTTACTTGAGTGTGTACCTTTCCTTTTACAAGAAATCTCTGTCCTTTGTTTCCTACTTGTCCTTGAATTCATTTCCTCAGACGGTGTTAAGGGCGCGACACCTGCTGGGGTCACTGTCTCATCAGCGTTTGGGGTCCTCCCCTTGCCCACTGGCATCAGATGAGGAATGCCAACGGCAGTGAGCCCAGGAAAAGGTGCTCAGTGTCCACAGCCCTCAGGGAAAGGAGCACGGCCTGTCCTGCCAGGCAGTTAGGTGATGTTACCAGAGCCTCCTCTGCAGCTTCCAGCTTGTGCAGCTCCATCAGGCCGTCCCCTGCAGTAGCCAGTGCAGATCACAGCTGGCGATCAGAGTTGGCGATCAGCTTAGCCGCCTTGGAATCTCCCTCAGCAGAGATGACGGCCGCCTTTTTCTGCGGCTCAGCCTTTTCCACCACAGATCTGGCCCGCTCTGCTTCCTGCTGAGCCACGTGTTTTGCTTCTAACGCTTCTGTGAACTCCTTCCCGAAGTCAGATGTGCCAAGAACACATTGTCTAGGATGAGCCCAAAGGTGGCTGCTCGCTCTGCAAGGTC